TGGGTCTGAAGTTAAAAATGAAGCCCTTAACCAACATGTATAAGCTCATCTTTCTTTATGGCAGAGTAGTACTTCACTGTATAAAAACCCCACATCTTAGATGGATGCACCTTGAGACCATACTCTTAAGTGAAATAAATCAGACACACATGTTTAAACACCACATTGTTTCTGTGGTGTGAGAAACCGAAAAGTGGAAATAAGGACTAAAATGTTTAATAGATATTGGGAAATGGGAAGAAAATGTTCAAATGAAAAGGAGAACAAAGAAGAGGGCGGGGGAAAGGAAAGAAGGGACAAGAAAAAAAGAATAGAAGGAAAAAACACAAACAAAGCTTTTGTAAATAAGGAGGGGAAGAGGGGTCGAATGGAGGGGGCAGGAAATGGGAAAAAAAGAAGCAAGATATATCATGAACAGGTACAAATTCCTTATGACTAATGTTATCATTATGTGTATCTAAAATGTACCAATAAATGTTTTGCTTAAAAAATGAAGCCCCTAAACTGATCTCATCTGAGGAAGTGTCCAGGGCACAGATCATTTACTATAAGATACAAAGAATATGGAAGAAACTGCCTCCATCAAAAGCCAGCAATATATGTCACGGACATTTCCTTGCCCAAGATGGATAGATAAAGCACACAACAAAAGGAAAAAACTCAGGCTACACTCTGAGGCAGGCCCAGCCCTTTTCCCACAGTAAATTCTTTGTATATACACATCAAAACAATCCATTGGGGAAAACCAAGGTCAGTGTACACCCTTGACCAGAACTGGTAGGGGCGGGAGGGCCACTCTATATATGAGGTCTTGATAAAATTTGTTTTCTACGTGACTAGGTGGCTCCTTAGCTGGGTGCACCCATGGGGGGCAAGGGCAGGAAAGAACAGCCTCGCTGGTGCCATGTTCTGGGTATGTCTCCCGTGCCCCCTACCCCATCCTGCCTTGACAAGTAGCAGCCTCCTTGCCACTATGAGTTGTCATGCCTCTTGCATCAATCATTTAAATGCTGTTGGACCCTCTGCTGGACAATGGCCAGTGGAGGTGTCCAGCACTTGCTGTGGGGCTCAGAATGCTGCAGGACAGACTAGGCTTGCCTGCTGCTCTAAAACCAGGGACAGGGATGTCACTGCTGGGGAACCAGTGTCTCACAGGCTGTGCAGGGAAAGGGAAAGAGCACTAGCTTAGGAGTTGGGAGATAGGTGCAAAGTGTGCTCTCTGGCCCCAGGTGAGTCCCTTAACCTCAGGCTGACTCCTCATGACTGAAGATGATAACCTTTGCCCTCTCTACCCCACAGAGCTGGAGCCTGGGTAGCAGCAGTCAGATGATGGGTTAAAAATAAAAGTAACCAGGGCTGGGGATTTAGCTCAGTGGCACCGTGCCTGCCTTGCAAGTGCAAGGTCCTGAGTTCGATCTCCGGTACCAAAAAAAAAAAGTAACTGCAAAAATCATCATCATCATCTCACTCTAATGAGATCACTTCTGCTCACCTCCTAGGGCAAAAGGGAACAAGCTTTTCCTCCTCAGGGATGATGGAAAAATGGAATTGTTTATATACAGCTTTTGCTTATCAGACTTACAAATTAGTCCCTTGGGGCACAGGAGAGCTCTGCAATCTAACCACGCTTTCTAGGGGCAAAGAGAATCTGGAGCAACTTGTATAATTTGATTTAGCTTCAGTTAGCAAAAGAGGAAATTCATTATTTAGCAGAGAAAAGGAAGAAACATTTGGTCTTAAGAGATTCTTGGTACAGTCTGCACAAAATTAATCTGACAAAATTCTTTAAAGGGGCTTTGCTTCCTTTGTTTTTTGTTCCCCACGCAGAGCTCAACAGAACAATCATGGACACAGAATACAGAACAGAGAAGCTTCCAAGTTGTGTGGAACTGAACCTCCTTGATTTACAGATAAGAAAGTGTGGCCCAGAGGGGAAGGATTTGCTCAAGACCATGGAGGAGGTGGAGGTGAGCCCTGGCTTTGCATACTCTGTCTCGACAGGCCTGGTATCTCCCAAGGCCCACAAGAGACACTGAGCAAGAGCCAGTGCTGCTTCAGCCCACCCACTTCTCCCAGGCTCCTCTACTGGTGGACTGCTGTGCTGGAGGGCTCAGTGTGCAGGGGACTTGGTCTGGCCTAGACACCGAAGACCAAAAGAGGAAAGGGCCATCTTCTGTGGTCAATTTGCCCAATTGTGTCAACAGGCAAAAGAGACAGCAGAAAGGGGCAGTCACAGCCTGTGCCCTCTCTGGCAGGACAGCTGTTTTATCACCTGCAGCTGCAGTCATCTCCCCTGGAGCCTGTCCATTTTCTCTGTGGTGCCCCCAGGTCCTGCTGTCTGGCTACACTCACACAGAGGTGGACATCTCTAGGCCTGTCAAACTCAATCTGAGGATCTACTGCTTATCCTTCACATCTTTTCTAGGACCAGCTTGCTGCCCTGCTGCCAAGGTCTGTGAGGCCTCTCCTTGGTTCTGGCTAATAAGATCTGCCCAAGTGCCCCAGCCACTTTGCTCAGGGAGGGATGAGTAAGTCACACACGTCTAGGATCCTTGGCCTCACCGTTTTGTGAAGAGCAAAGACAGCAACCTCCATACAATTTAAAGTGCAGCCTGCTCCCAGATCTTCTGATTCACCACTCTAGCTCAGACTATGAGAGAGAGGGGACAGGATGTCCTGGGGCTCTGAAACAGTACAGTCCAGCTCAGACTGGGCTCTCAGCACCTACTCCTAGGTACTCAGTCAAGGGGGGTTGAGATTAATGCCTGACTTAATATCTTCCTGAAAGGAAGATTTCTATAAAGAGACTTTTTCTCTCTTTACTCTTTACCATACGCCTATAGCAATGGCTCTCACCAGGGGCCATTTCTAATACCTAGAGACGTTTCTGGTTGTCAGGACTGGGGGTTGTTATTGACACCTCATGGGAATAGGCCATGGATACTGCAAATACCTTACAGCACAAAGGACTCCCCACAAGAAGGGGGAATCCCTAGAGTCAGCAGTGCTGCAGCTGAGGAACTCTGTATGACACCAGCAAGCGGCTCCCCTCCTGGGGTGATGCCAGCAAACAGTGAAATACTTGATGCAAGTGCTGAAGGCAGGACCTGAGTAACCACAAATTGACTTACTAAAGGGAGTCACTTAACTCCTGCTTTGGGCTCACTCAAAAATATAGGAGATGGCAATGTGGCTGCTTCAGAATAGATAGACAGGTGGCAAGACTGTTCTCTGCTGCTGCCTCCTATTACAGGGGGGCTGTGGAAAGGAAGCAGACACACCCGGTAGCTCAAGGCAGCACCCCCTGCTAGACAGGATAAGTCAGGAAAACCAAATTGCTCATACACCAAACGTGCCCTGAGCTCCTTCTGGCCTGGCCCTGTCAGTGCTAGGGGCACAGAGGGATGTCCTGGAGGAGCTCCTAGTCCAGTGAGGATATCTAACAGTAAGCAACTGCCAAACATCACTCTTGGTCAGGATGACCTAACTTACATTTTCTTTAACAGTCCTTCTGGGAAGGGCAAAAACCAATAAAGTGGAAAATAAAGCAGTGATGCTGCATTGCTGATTAAAATCTATATTGCTATGGCAGCCCCTCTGAGACAGGAACAGCACCCGGGTTTGCACCAGCTGGGCTTGTGCAGCTTGTAAATAATTAAAAGGTAATTGGAAGGGGAGACCAAAGTATTAAGTGGATTTCTCTCTCTCTTAGGGCAAACAGGGAGTTTCACTGCTGCCAGCCACATTATCTTTCAGGATTACATTCTTGTTTTTTAGCTCCTTGCTCCAGTTCCAGCTCCAGATAACCTTTGGTGGAATACACTAATTAGGGCTATTGAAACTGCTAGGCCTGGAGACAGGGAGCATAGATTCAAAACTTTCTGCTGTCTTTCTGTTAGTACAGCCTGCTATCAAGGAGGCAATAGGCTTTGGAAGGTAAGGAAGTGAGGAGAAAGGAGAGTGGAGGGGGAGAGGGACAGATCAAGCCACGGAGAGCACCAAAGAATGCTCAGAATATTTACCTGTCGGGGCTGACATTACAGCTTAGCCTAGGACAGAGACAATGTCATTCCCCAGTCTCAATAAAGCCACTGACACAGATCCCTGGGGAAGCATGATCAGGCATCCACAGCGTGGAGGCTGGTGGGAGCAGCACTCCTCTCCAGCTGTCTCTTGAGTGGGAGGGTAGAGCCACGGGCTGAACAACTTAGGACCTTCTAAAAAGGCTGGACCCGGCTGGCAAACCCATTGCTGGGACAGGATGTCAAGCCAGGAAGTTGAGCCCTTGAGCTCTACACTCAGTCACGACAGGGTCTAGGTGGTGATGGCTACAGGTGACAGTGTGGGGAGCAAGAAGGGAGGAGGGCAGATCAGGAGGATGAATTATAAAGCAGATGCCACATACCCGACAGTTAAACTGTACAAATGTTCCAGCCAAGCCAGTGGTGGCCAAAAATAAAAAAGTCAATGGATAAAAAGACAAAGTGGCCTTTCCTTCCCATGGAATCATTTTAGACTCCAAAATATACCCAGGAGGGCCAGGGATTTAGCTCAGTGGTTCCACCGCCTGTCTCGCAAGTGCAAGGTCCCAAGTTCAATCCCAGTACCAAACAAACAAACAAAAAACCTCAAAATATACCTGGGGTCTCTACTCTTTCAGTCTCTATGAGACTAGACATACCAACATCAGCCCCTCATGCTACTTTAAGTGGAGCCCTGTGCAGTTACAAGGGTAAGATAAAAGCATATTTGAATCTGAAATGGTTCCAAACACCAGCGAATCAGAAGAGACCCAAAAATAAGGCAGGGCCAAATGGAGGTGATCAATCCATTCATTTTTTGCCAAAGTCTTCTCTGCCTTCTTCAATGTGGCTGTCAGTTATTCACATAAATCCTGAACCAATCAGAAGCAAAGTTCCCTTGTCCTGAGTATGGATAGCACATGGTATACTGGCACATAGTAGGCATTCAATAAATAAGGATAAAGAAAGCACACTCACCCCTCTTCTGCATAAAGATGAAGAGGTCATCTAGGAACTCCTTCCTTTCAGGATCACCATCTAGTTCATAGAGCTGCAGTCCCCACCCCAAGGAAAAAACACAATGAAACATTCCATTTTGCCTCAGAAAGTCTTATACCAGAGACACTATACCATAAGAATAAGGACAACAAGGGGCCAGGGATTTAGCTCAGTGGTTCTACCGCCTACCTCGCAAGTGCAAGGTCCAGAGTTCGATCCCCGGTACCAAAAAAAAAAAAAAGAATAAGGACAACCCACTGCAGAAATGCCCCATCTTCATCACAAGTCTTACAGACCTTGGCAAAATCTCGGGAAATCTCTCTTCCCCGGCCTCCATCAGCATCATCACTCCAGGCCAAACCACCATTCTGCAGAGAAACAAGACAACAGGTTGAAAGGGGAATAGGAAGAGAAAGAGTAGAGGAGAGGACAATCATCTGGAGACAACAATGACCCTCAGCATTCATGCTAGGAGACACTGTTAGAGATGACCACTCCTCTCCCTTACAGGGCAACTTGTTTTTGCTTCCAATTATGATTCCAAAATAAGAGGGAGTTGGACAGAAGAATCATCTACTTTCTGAAGGGTGAGCAGGTGTTACTCATACTCAATGCTCCAAGAGGGGGCCTAGGCCTAGTCTCCTGAGAACCTCTCACCTCCAGCTCATCTTCAGAGGCCATTGCTCTGAGACATAGTGTGCTATGGGCGTGAAAATGCTACATGTGGTTTCCCTGCATGCTGCCCTGAGCAGGGATAAAGGCCAAAGGGAGCAGGCAAAGATGCTGAAGTTGCAGCCTGTCTGCAAGACTCCTCATTGGAAGGCCAAATGCTAGGGAAGAGAAGGCCTTATTGAGTGAGGGCTACCACACCCAAGACTGCTTGGGCCCCAAGGGACAGATTCAGTGCCCCAGGGCAAGAGTTCATTTTCATTAGGGAAATAATGAAAACCTAAGCCTGATTTAATTGATTAGGTTAAACCACACCATTCACTAACAGAAGGGAAGGGCAAACATGTCTCTCTGTTATTTCATCTTGCTACCTTAGAATTTAACAGAGTACTTTGGAATGATTTGTCACCCCCACCATCAGGAGAGCTCCTAGCCTGGCACATAATTAATGCGTTAGCTGAGCCAACTACTTATTCACAAAGCAAAGAAATGCACATATCATGCAGGAGATGGGGGGGGGGGGCGGCACACACACGGGCACAAAATCTCACAGTGTAACTCTGCTGCTCACCCCTGACCCCTGCTTGAGCTAGTGGAGGGCCCAGTGGATGCAAATGGGACCCCTGAGCCTGTCATTCATGTCCCCCAGCTAGGCAGGATGTGTAAGTGGTAGGGGAGGGGCAGCTGGGGCTGGGAAAAACCAGGCGTTTCTTTCTTGGGGGACTATTCTTTGGACTGTGTAGGGATCTTGGTCTAAAACCAGGTTGAAACTGGGTGTGCACACACCTATAATCCCAGCACTGTGAGAGGCTGAGACAGGAGGACCACAAGCTTGAGCCTAGCTCAGGGAATTTAGTGACTCAGACAGACCTTGTCTCAAAATAGAAAATAAGGGCCGGGGATTTAGCTCAGTGGTTTCGATGCCTGCCTAGCAAGCTCAAGGACCCAAGTTCGATCCCCGGTACCAAAAAAAAAGAAAAGAAAAGAAAAAATGGTAGCTGGGAATTTAGCTCAGTGGCACGGTGTTTGCCTTGCAAACCCAAGGTCCTAAGTTTCATCCCTGGGATTGGGAAAAAAAAATTAATAGAAATAAAAAAATAAGAAAAGGTCTGGGGATCTAGTTCAGTGTGAAGGTCCTGGGTTTAACACCCAGTACTGCAAGAATAAATTAATTTTCAATTTTAAAAACATACCAAACAAAATGAGAGCCTGGTAGAATTCCATTCCCCTTTAATCAAGCTTGCTAGAAGGCATTGTTAAGTTATATTTTGGGGCCATACCTCACTTTGCCTGCTCAGTTTGAGTTCTGAGATGCAGACCCACTTCCTGATAGCAACTCAGCACACAGTGGGCAAGTCTCAGAGAAATGGCACTCTGTCAGTTGAAAGGAAACAGGTCATGCCAGTGTCTCCCTGCTTATCTAGTAAAAGACTCACATAAGAAGTGCTCAGTAAATGTGATGAACAGTGTGCTCATCAGGTTTCCAGGCAGGCACTGTTGGAATCCTTCCTATGTTGGCTTCAGCCCAGGGAGCCCATAACCACGCCAGAGGAGCACTGTGGTTTTTAAAAGCTTCATCCCCACATTGTAATTATACTCACTAGAAATCTAGTGTCATCTGGTGGCAACTAGATGATGAATAATCAAGATGAACTATGCCCATCAGGTCAGCAAAACCAGACAGAATTACAGTCCCCTTTCAAAGGCTGCGTGCGGTAGCCTGCTCTAATGCCTAGTGATTTTGTTTGAGCCAGTAATCCCTGCTGGAAAGTCAATTATCCTGGGAGCCCCTCTTGGCTGTGAAAGACATTTAATGGAGGATCATTGCTGTTTCTGTTATGTCAGTTGTTTATTGCAGCAGATCTGAGGCTGAGGTTGTTCACAAGAGGCTTCTTTCTCTGTTGGTCACCCACAGCAGTTTGGGGCTAATTACAGTAACTAGCAGGCATTCTGAAGGTTCACTCAGGAACAATTTAACACTCAGCTGGGTGGAGAGGAGGGAATCCACAACCTACAGTCTCAGACAGGGCTTTCCCAGCAGGAGAGGAGTGTGAGAACAGCATGTCAGTGTGACCAAGGTAGGGACTATATGTGAAAATAAACACCCAAGTGTGAGTTGACTTTAGGAAAGAGCAGAGAAGAATGACCGGTGGTGGTGGTGAACAGGCATCCTGCTTTATTCAGCTCTGCTCCAACTACATGGAATAAAGAAATGAGCACTAGCTGTAGCCTGGGAAAGGGAAACACTCACCTCAAGAATCTGCTTCATGGCAGAATTTTAGCCTGAAATGCCTCCATCTAGCCCAGTGACTGCAGAGGACAGGGACAATGGCCAGGAGGACAGTAGCAAGACACTGGGCACTGAGTAATCAGATGGTTTGAGCCATTTCACAGAAAGGAACTGCCAGTCACTACTTTAAAAAAATACAGAGAAAAAAGTTGACCCAGAAAGGATGTTTTCTTTTGTTCAGTCCTTCTCCAAGGCAAGGCTGGGCTGTCAGTTAATTTAAAATATCCCACTGCAGGGCTACTGGAAAAAGGTTTACTGTGCATTACTTTGTCTTCAGGCAGGTACACTCTGATCTTATTTCACAGGAGCTGCTGGCTAAGGGGAGAATCCCTAAATTCCGCCTGACCTTCACAATCCAGCTGGATGCCAGTTCCTCCAGGAAGCCTCCCACTTCTGGGCAACAAGCAGGTTCAACACTTTTCTCCTCCAGGCTCTCTCAACTCATGTTCTGATGACTTGTGTACCTAGCTCTAGTGCACAGAACGCACATACACCCCTACTAAATGAAAGGAGTGGGTCCCCCTGGGACTCCAACCTCACAACTCCTGTCTCCTGTTCCCCTTTCTTTGGGAGGCAATTACTGGTTCTCAACTGATGAACTGCTATAAACCACGGCTTACTTATGCAATTCAAGTTTATTTGCAGGTTACTTGGCCTATCAATGGGGAGTGGCTGTGAATGCAAGTTATCATTCCAAAAACAATTTTTCTTAGATACTGAGTGTGGCTGATGGAGGCTGCTGTGGTAGAAGAAAGCAGAAAATGGTAGAGGCTGAAACACACAGGCACAAAGAGTTCAACCTTTTGGGCACCAAGAGAGGCCCACATGAAGAGCATTTATGCTGAAAGGCCATTGTATGCAGGTCCACCCCGCCTGACCAGGAACAGACTTTGTTACCCCTCCAGCAGGATAGCGGTGTTATGCATGCGGGAAGTCAGCAGTGGCCAGAGTGGTCACTTACTGCCATTTACAGCTATTTTTGCCTCCCCTACTTCAGAACTCTCTTTTAACACCTCTGATCTCACCAGGAGCTCACAGGAAACTGTTCCCAAATATCCACCCAAGACCAGCTTTGGCTACTATACCCATAGTCAGCTAATTTTCCCTATGGAAGCCAGAGTGTTTTCTTTAAACCTTTACAAAATGGTGGTGAAAGAAGGATGATGGAGCAGGACAAAGGAGAGCAGAAGCCTTCTGTGTGCCAAGGGCTGGATGGGGCCTCAGCAGCACTTTCTCACTAATTCTACAGTATAGTGGTGGTTATGTCAGAGCTCAGGAGACAGGGGCTCCAGGAGCTCCATCAAGCAAAGGGCTCGGAGAGCCAGGACCCAAGCCCATGCCTGCCTGGCTCATTTTGTGGCACATGCTCTTCACAGATTAACACAGTGCCATGCCAGGGATTTAGCTCAGTGGTGCCTCATCTGTCTCGCAAGCACAAGGTCCTGAGTTTGATCCCCAGTACCAGAAAAACAAAAAACAAAAAATACAGTGCCAAGTGTTCTGAGTGGGGTGACTGGGAAAGAATAAAATTCTCAGAATGCCCATGTCATGACCCTGGGGGCTTCCAGCAATGTGAGATTCTTTCATTCCTTGATTCTTCTCATTAGCTTCATGTAGATAATCGAGCCAAACAGAAATCAGCCCTCACACAACACATGGGGCTGTTTATCTGGGGGCACCACCGACCTTGTACTATCTGCAAGACAGATCATCCACCAAAGGGTGAGCCCACGTCTCCCAGGGGACAGGACACCAGGGTACAGGGCGAGGGTGAGGAAAGAAGAGGGGAGAAGGAGAGAACATGAACATACCTCAGAGGATCAGAGGAACATGGTACACATGGCTTTCAAAAAATAACAGTCAAAGTCTAACTTGACTGTTTCTCAAAATTAAAATAGTGCTTCTCTAACATCTTAACCCTGGCAGATCAAGAAAACACAGAGGAAACAAACAGATTCACTACATTGAAAATCCTTTCTGTGGGAAAGGAGCCAGGCTTCTCTCACCCTTTGGGTAAAACTAGGGTGACTGGACAGAAGTGACCAGCCTGTGTTTAACAATCGGAACTGCCCAGTAAGGGGATGAGCCTTCTCAGGAGGGGGCAGCACCCTATCTCTGGATGGCCATCTGCCTGGGACCTCCACATGAGGCAGAGTGGATGAGATGGCCTCCAGGGGATCTTTCTGTCCTGAGAAACAAGGATCCGATGACAAATTCCTTCAACACATATTTCCTGAGACCTACCTACGTAGAGCACTGTGTAAACTGCAGAGAACATCCCCCTCCCCAAGTAGTTCCCACCACTGGGTATTTTACCACAGAGTGGAAAAACAAGTCGACCATACATACATAGCACTGGCAACAAATACCAAACCACAAGGTGCTGGGAGGTGAAGAAAAGGCCCGGGG